GAACCATACCTGTACTAGATCTGAAATTGTCCTATATTTCTTTCATATAAAATAAATGTCATAATATATTAAGGAGGATAATCCAATTCATGATCTAGAGTTAGAGGCAAAGCTGCAAAAGTGTTGGGTGTCCCATTCCATAAGATATATAAAAAGCATGACAAGAAACTGGACCATCTATTCTTCAAGGAAATGATCTCCCCAAGGTTTCTATGGACCTGAAGCCTAGTCCCATGCTTGTTGCCTCTTTACCCATTCATCTACCATCCAATTTCGTTTTTTGTTTTGTTCTGGATTCCTTCCAGGGGCATGTGTGCCTGCCTCTTTCTTTCACTGTTTTTCAGAGCAATAGTCCCTTTGTTTGACACTAAAGGCTTCTTTTCAGTTCTTTTGTTCCATTTTGTTTTTCCAGAGAAGGCACTAGGAGCTGAGCTAGCTACAAGAGGGACCCTTGTACAGGCTTAAAATTCCCTCTCCTAGAGGTTCTGGCTGGCTGTTAACAGTAGCTTTTGTGATGCTACAACCACACGCCACGGCTTGCTTGGTGGAGGAACAGAAGGGGCTGATGTTAGAGAACGGAGGTGTGCAGATGGGTGAAGAACTGGCTTTGAAAATGCTGAGCTGGCATGCTGGAGCATTGCAGAAGGGGCAGAGGGTGTGTGTGCTTCTCTTAAAGCATTGGGAGACTTTTGGAGTGTGCATTTTTCTGCAGCACCAAAGCAAGACCTGAGCTAGATGGATCTGTTGCTCTGTTTCTCCAGGGACCGCAGGTGGGCAGGAGGAAGGGTGTGAATCCAAGGGGACCTTGCAGTAAGTACCAGCAGGAGGAGGAGGAGCATATTCTGTCTCTGGCTGCTACTCTTGCCGCCTCCATCAGTAACAACACCATAACTGCCACCACAATGAGGCAGAAGCAGTTAAGTTGAGCTACAGCCCCACTTGCATGGGTGTGGGTGGGTGGGTGTCACTCATCTCATTTCCAGCAATCAGAATCTGGATATGGAGAAAGTGGCCTCAGCACCAGTGCTGTTCCTTTGCAAGGAGAGAGAAAAGGAGAACCCAGCCAACAGGTAGGAGAAACGCTCGGAAAGGTGGGCGAGGATGAAGTGAAGGAGCCCCGCTTGCTAGTCCCTGCCTCTGCCTTTGAGGTTGCAGTGGTTATCTTAATGTCTTCTTTAAGAAGTGGTTTTAGTTTAAAATGCCCACATCCTGCTCCTGGAACAGGCTGGAATGATCTGATTGAGCTGCCTCAGTTAATTCCTTATTAGAAACAAATGGAAAGTATCTAAAGGGAGCAGGGGGTGGGGAAGAAATATCTTTATTCTCCCAGAGCCATCCTTTCAGTTCAAATGGCTTATTGCAGCCACCGTTTTGTTTCAGGGATACATGGATTAAAAATTTCCCAGACAATTTAAGAAAGGTCAGACAAAAGAGGGGGGGCATGAAAGAAAATGAAATGTTGATGTTGCCCTCTTTAGTTTAAATGAAAGGTTTGTTTTCTGGAGGCATTGCGTAGAAAATGGATGGAAGAACAGGAAAGTAAAAGGAAGACCCTCTTTCTTGTTTTCCCCCCCCCATTTGTTGCAACACGAAAACCCCATCCACAGTCAGTGTTTGGACTGAGCCCAGCTTATCAGGGGTACCTCAAGACTTCAGATTCTCCATGATGACCATGTGTCTGTCCCAACTAGGATCTGGCCCCACATATGCTGCAAGGCATACACACCACATGGTTTTCTGTGCTAAATAAGAGCATGGTGGCCTGGGTGGAGGAATTCACTGTGGACCAAGTGGAGATTCATTGGAGTTTGGAGCCTCTACAATGGTGGTGAGCCGATTAAAATTATTCTCCTCAGGAGGCTGATGGATCCTGACAGTTCCTTGGTGGCTCTTCAATAGTTTTCTGTTGCTTTGGCAGAAAATGTTGTTGAAGTTCTAACTGATCTCTGGAACAGCGTGGTGGACAGGGTCGCTCTTAATTGTCCTTTACCTTGGAATAAAGGCAAACCAACGGAAACCTAAAATTGGGTACTAACACTAGGCCCTAGGGATGGCAGTGATGAACCATGGGAGAGAAATGACAATGATGGCAGAAGCCTTGAAACATGCCTGATCAGTCAAGAAAGAAATGTTCCTGGTCAATCAAAAACAAGATATGAATAGGAATTCAACATGTACTAGATGAGGTCAAGTGTACTTCTGGACTTGGCCTTGACTGTGTGGACAGCCATCTTTCAGTAGTGGCCAGGTCGGTGTTTATAATTAAACTTTTAAATTTAATTTTATTTTCTATTCACCTTTTTCCATAAAAGGCCTCAAGGTGGCTCACAGCAATTGAAATACAAGTAAAACTTTTAAAAAGACAATAAATATACAATTAAAACCCAGTTTGGCTTAGGATAATATAAAAATCTGATGAAACAAACCCTAAAACAGCCTTTAAAAGCACACTTAAAAGACCATAACTACCATCTTGGGAAGAGACTATCTTTGATGCCCAATATGATTTTTAAAAGCATGTTTAAAAATAAAAGTCTTTATGAAGCCAGAAGGACAAAAAGGGAGAGAACCCAACCTGGCCTTCTGAGGGAGGGCATGCCACACACAACCTGAAAGCAGCCACAGAGAACAGCCTCTCTCACATTCCCATCAAGTGTGCCTGTGAGGGCAGTGGAACCGAGAGGACCACCTCCCCTGAGCTTCTAACAAGCTGAGAAGGCTCATATGAAGAGAGATGATCCTAACATACAAGCTTCACCCATTTCTTGAGATGTCTGATCTTACTATGCTGATATATGCCTTAATTACATCCTGCATGGTTTATTGTAATATCCATTACAAGGGCTGCCTTTGAAGAATGTTTGAAGAGTGGAAACTTCATTTGGTCTAAAATGCTGCAACTAGACTGTTGAGTGTAAAGGTAAAGGTAAAAGTTCCCCTTGACAATTTTTGTCCAGTCGTGTTCGACTCTAGGGGACAGTGCTCATCCCCGTTTCCAAGCCATAGAGCCAGCGTTTTGTCCGAAGACAATCTTCCGCGCTCACATGGCCAGTGCGACTTAGACACGGAATGCTGTTACCTTCCCACTGAGGTGGTACCTATTTATCTACTGGCATTTGCATGCTTTCGAACCGCTAGGTTGGCGGGAGCTGGGACAAGCAACAGGAGCTCACTCCGTCGCGTGGATTCGATCGTACGACTGCTGGTCTTCTGACCCTTCAGCACAGGCTTCTGCGGTTTAGCCCGCAGCGCCACCACGTCCAGACTGTTGAGTGTAGCTAGTTAGAAAAAGCACAGTACAGTTTGTAAGAGGTCATCTTGATTGCTCCCAACAGGCTGTCTAGCCCTACCCCTCAAGCCCAGGGGAGGCTCCAGGTGGAGGAAAGGCCACTGCCAGATGCAGGACAGCTGGAGAAAGGCATGATGGTGGGAGTAAAAGGGCTGGAGTTGCAAGGCTCAGGGTCATCATCATCAACCACATGGGATGGAGGGGAGACATGGGAAGGGACAGTCGATCACTAGGACCCCACCTTCTGTGCCTCCAGAGGTGCAAGTAGGGTTAGAGGACAAGGGAAGTTATCTCCTCCTGCCCAGCTTGTTTGGCCGGGGAAGGGGTTAGGGACCTGAGGTGCTGGCAACACAGCCCCTAGCTGATCCAGCACCACTCCAGCCTTGATGTCCTCACTGCCTGACAGGAACCTCAGCACCTGTCCCAACCCAGCTTTGGTACTAGAGACAGAAGCGGCAACAGGCATAGCTAAGAAGGCTCCAGGAGGAGCAACATTGTGAAGCCTGGTCCCCTCATCTGCCTTTACCAGTCCTTTCTGAAAGGACTGCTCCCCAGATTGGGAGTCTTACTTCCTGCCCACTTCTCCGGACTTGGATTTTTGGGGACCCCAGTGAAGTCAACCGGGCTCCCAGTTGGACAGACTGTGACCAGGGGGTTCGTGCTGGGAACTCAACCCCATTGGAATGTGGGGTGAGGGGCTATTAGGGCTGACTCTGTGCCTTTAACAAAAGTTGCCATGAGAGATAAAGCCAAGTTGAAACCCATGGAATTTTTTTGCCTAGAGGCTCTTCAGCCTCAAGGCTCCCAGGAAGGGGTGGTTGGAGAGACTTACACACTATCACTGGATTCTGGCCATTTCTAGGCCATTCAAAATGCTGGTTATTATGACCTATAAAGCCCTCTATGACCTTGCTCCAGGCAGTCTAAAAGACCTTAACTCCCTGGATGTGCTTTTCCAGATGTTACCATATTCAGGCAGACCTTTCTTTCACTCTCACAAGCACATCTGGTTGAAGACCTTTTAGAGGTTGCTCCAAAACTGGAGAACTCCCTTCTGCTGGAGGCTGAGTTGAGCAAACTACAAAGAGAAGAACTCAAAGCTGGATGCTTTTCTTCTCTGCTTTGCTTTTTAAATAATTTTATTTGGTAGTCTTTTTAATTATTACGTATTCAGTTACATTTTGATATAATAACATGTGTCACTCTTCTTGTTTTAATTTTTTTGTAATTTATTTATGTCCCTCTAGTAAGAGAAAGGTAGGATAGAAATAAAATAAAAAATAAGTGTGTGTGTGTGTGTGTGTGTGTGTGTGTATATACAGTGAGTGTGTCTGCTTAATAGCTACATTACATATGCTATAATACTTCTCTGAGCCTGAAATCCAGAATATACCCCTTGAATCAGTGGAACCTTTACAGAAGTATTGACTCACTGAATCCCCATTTTCATTAGGACTACTCTAGCTGTGATTTTCTACTAGATTTCAGCCTGGGTTAATTCCTTTTAAAAAACATCATATTTAAACAATAGATATTGGATAGAAATATTGATGCTACCATGATATATTGGCATACCAGATGGAGATACTGATGTCAATAGAATACTGCTTGGGCCTCCCATTGAAAGCAGTGGGAGACAAAATAAATGACAATAACCAAATGCCAAATGGAATGACTAAAAGACATGAACCAGGTTTGCATTAGTTGGGAGAATGGGTGAAAAGCAAATGAATGTAAGCATCACATGAATGATGGTTTTATCAGTAAAACAAGTAGTGAAGGTCAGGGCTTGGAGAATTACTTGTAAAGTGAATACATTTAATGAGACACTGAAGTCATCAAAATGAAGAACTGATAAGACAATGTTTTGGAGCCCAGAGAGTCATCCTACCATCTTTCAATTATGGATGGCTTCATCATTTAATTATATCCATTATTTCTAAGTAAAAGTAACTTTCTGAATTCTGCTTTAAAAAGTAGTATGCAACAAGCACTCCACATATTCTATCCTTATTCTGAAAGCTTTGCCTCTCCCATTCCCAGAAGTGCAGAAGCAAGCAGTATGTGGTGCACCAAAATGCCTTGACGTGCCATTGGCATATCCCCAATAAATATATTTGCATGTATACACTTGGCGATTCCAATCCTGTTTCACTGGCTGCTGTTGTTCAGATGCCTCAATGTTGCCTTTCTGTTCCAGTTCTTCCCTCATACAGATCTCTGTCAGTTCCTCATGCTTTAACTCCCAACAGTTCCAGAATTGCTTTTCCAGCTCAGTCAGACAGATTATCCAAAGCTTTCTCTCCAGATGTTTTCTAGGTAAACAGAAAAGATTCTGTGTTTACATATTGCCCATTAACGTTCTTCCACTGATGTGAAGGTAGTACTTATAGAGCCAGATGACAAGGTGCATACAGTCCTTGACACCAAGCCTACACAATGCTGGGTGGCATTTTTGAGTAAGAGGCCAATCATCAGCAGGAAGATCAGCGAGGCCATTAAAAATGAATTTCTAAATCTACTGCCCTGGTTTATTCCAGGTGAAAAATTAAGCATTTTTGGTACACCATCTGGCAAAATCCATGCAGTACATGGAACTTACTCCAAGCCAATGTGCATCAACCTGAGATTCTTTTTGTAACAACATGATAATAGCAGTACACTAATTATATGCCATCACCTGACCAAAATAATGCAAAGACACTGTGCCCATTCTAGAAATTATAATTCACCCACAGAAGGAATGCACTGTTTCACATCCATTTGCCATACAGATGTGCAATGCTGGTGTGGAAATTATCTATGCATTTTGAATCCATCCATATACAGTAAATACGTTATAGTCTTTGCATGTTGCTTCAATATGCAAACCATTCTTTCATATCCGTCACCAAAAGGAGAACTGGATTTGAATGGGACCAAAACTTTCAGTGCCACTGGAAATATAACTCAGTGGCAGATCATGCACTTTGCATTCATAATGTGTGAAATTCAATCTCTCATTTCTACAACTGTCAAAAAGGTCAAGGAAAGGCAAATTGGAGATATGGGGCAGTAATGTACTTTCCAGCTCTTTACACCTGGGATAAGGAACCTGTGGTTTTCCTAGTGTCATTAGATTTCAAGACCACCCCAGCCTCAGGGAAGAAGGAAGCAGGGGGTTGTAGTCCAGCAACCTCTGCGGAGCTAAAACCCTCCCACCCAGCTTTGTGGACTGCCTACATCTTTAAATTTCAATTTCAATCCATTCTGCAAAAGGGAGAACAGCTCAACTATTTAGGCTTCACGAATGTCCAAGAGAAAGATACAATGAGAATGGGGCAAAAAACAAACAAACAAATCCCAAAAACATTTATGGCATTCCTAAACAGATTATGAATAAAATCAAGAATGACATAAAGAGTGCTAACACTCTTACTTCAGAAGTGCAAATACCATGCCACACATTTTTGAGCAATAAAAAGAAGAAGAAATTAAGTTAAAAATGAACAGTGTCATGAGGGCTTTTAATATGTCCTTAGTAAATGGGAATGCACTAAATTGACAACTTCTGGTCTAAAGTAATTAAGAAACAAATAAATAAATTAAGATCTCTTTGGTTCCAGATGTTTATTTTATTGCTTCTTTGGAGTGGGATTTTTCTTCTCTCTGATTAGTTCCAGAAGTGGGTATAGATAGGCCAGTGTTGTGCTCTCATGTTCTACTCGTACAACAGGTCTACCATATGCAAGCACAATGACTTCTGTGGAACTGGGCAAGGAGCCATCTCCTAACTTCTTCCAGAAGTGGAAGCAGGTACAGCTTGTGGATGGGGATACCGGCATGTTCCCCTTAGAATTTTTAGGGGGAAGCTGTCACTTCAACACAAGCCTCTTAATTTGAATGGGCACTCATCTTGCACAAAACAGATAGACCATAATCTAATTTTGCACAAAACAGATTGGGCAGAACTACACAGGTGGTGCATTAGAGTCCAGTCGTGGCCAACAGAATTCTGCCTGCAGGGTTTGGTGCTTGAAGGAGATAAGCACCAAACGTGAGACAAGGGATGCAATTTCTCAGGAGAAAAACCATATAGCTACAAAAGGCCATAAGGGTAACACAGATGGTCAGACAAGAAGAAATAGGAGTTGGGAGAGGAGAAGTGTCATAGTGGTGAGGAGCAGCACCATCATCCTGAACTGAGAGAAGCTAAGATCTACTACACAGTGTTCAAGATTGCACATTCTATAGCAGCAGAAGAGGACCTTTAGCCCTCCAGATGTTTTGGACTACAATTCCCACTATCCCATACCATTGTACATTGGAGATGACAGGAATTATCATCCTCAAAACACGGAGGACCACCTGATCCCTGTTCTATAACTAGCTTTACATAAGGTCCCACTTCCAAATTCAAGCATCTTCCCTCAGTATAGATTATGGACAAACTTTGGGCTATTTGAGCATGGGGGGAGGAGTGTACATCATCCCAAAATGGTGGAGGGAGGCACCCCCTATGCTCAGTCTATGAATTGCTCGTAGTCCAAATGCTTCATAGCTCAGACCAGATTGGAGAAAACATTTTTGGCTCTGAAAACAACATTGAAACTAAAGACTTACAGCCTAGTCACAAAGACCGCTACCTATTACCTCAGAAGAATGCTAGACCTGACTATCATGTTCTCATTGTGGAATTCTGAAGTCTATACAGGAGTCAGGACAAGGTCAGGCATCATTGATTAAGTTCTTGGAATTTGAGGGTCTGAAGCAGAACTTTGGGATGTTCAAGGTTTTTTTTTTACTACAACTCCCAAAATCCCCAAGGAGAAGTTGTAGTCCAAAATTATAACTTGTCCAATGTTAGGGGAGTGCAAAAAGTGGAGCCTTATGTATGTATGTATGTGTGCGTGCGTGCGTACGTACGTACGTACGTACGTACATACATACATCTGCTTAAGGACACGCATGCGATAGTGGGGTGGGGTAACAGATAGTGGCTGTGATCAGGTGTAGGGTAAGGTATGGGCAAATCTTGTTTTTGAGCGGGAAATAACCAGGAGGCTTCGTTTTGAACTTCAATAGATTTATTAAACTTAACATTTGGAGAGTCAATCACAACTTCTGTAGGCTCAAACCAGCTTAACTCAGGCAATTGCCCACATGAGCTAGGTAACACATTCATAAACGAACTGTCCTGTATTATTGCAGAGCCAAGCCAAAATGCTCCTTGTCTGTTGGTTTCCTTAATGGCGTGCTCCTCACCGCGCATATTGTGCCACAACACAGGTGGCGTGCCTGTCGAGCGGTGGCTTGTTGAAAGACGCGCTGGGACGAATCACCCTCCTCGAGTGACCCTGTCCCCTCGGGAACGCTACCACTGTCCATTCTGTAGTCTCGCTCACAGTTACTCCCTCTTTATTCATGGTTGGGTCCGGCAACCGTCCTCCCACTTTCAAATTAGGGAAGTCTTGAAGGAGGGCGCTGTCTCTCTTATATTCTCTCTCTCTCCCCCCCTTCCTTCAGATGTCTAAAGGTTCTCACCTCCTCCTCTCCCTTCTTATCCTCCTCCCAGATTGGCAATATTAACTCCTCCCCTTCCTTTCCCTTTCCTTCTTCGACCAAACAAATCTCTGTCTTCATTCCTATTTCCACATTAACATTATCAATTGCCCCTTGTGTTCTCTCTCTTGATCTTTCAGTTATAGGTTCCTTTATTTGAGGAGACGCTGCATTCTCTACATCTACTCCCCCTTTACAGTGGCCAATCTGATTTTCCAAATATTGGTTCTAGAGTTTTCAAAGTGTCGGCCATTGTTAGAGGGGGCCACCTAGGACATAATGAAAAAGGAAGTTTCCCATCCCCCAAATGAGAACAAATGAGTAGTTTGCATAAAATTACAAAGTTAATTTCTATGCACAGAAGAATGTGCATAAGAATGACTTTTATAATTAAGCAGAATGACAATGCATCTCAGAAGGAAGATTGTGGATAGGTGACCTAGGAGATGCTGAATCTGCTGTCCAGGTGCTAATTGTAGCTGGGGAACTTCAAGGTCCCTGATCTCTTTCCTCCTGGTTTTTCATCTCTGAACTAGACTTGGCCTGAACCCCCCACTTCAAAAGGAAAGACAACTCTGAAAGAAATGACTGTCATTTCACAGTTCTTACATGAACTCTGTAAAGGATGACATGTGGCCAACTTAGACTGCATTGTGTGAGGAAGATATTCAGATCAGCTTTCTGGGCAGAAAGGTGCCATATGAAATACATAAACAGAACATTTCTTGGATCACTTAGGAAGGTTCAATTTGGGAAATTTTCTAAACATCTATTTAATTTAGGAATGAGAGATAGGTGGGACTTAGACCAGGTTAGATGCATGTTCTCAAAGCATCACAGAAAAAGAATGATTATATTATTTCTTCCAATCTTGACTCTATTCCCTGCCAGAAATAGGCACTCAGAGTGGTTTACAAAAGAAAAATCTTGATAAGATTACAGCCTCAGCATGACATTAAAGGAATTCTAAAATAAAATGTAATTATCCCTAGATAACTATGGAGATATAATGCCTAGGCATTGTGAAATGTTTGCCCAAACAACCACTTCACTAGTGCTATGAAATGTGATGATAAGATCAGAACTTGTTTGGAGATCTACTGGTGATAGTTGTTAAGGGTTTTTTAAAAGGTAAAAGCCCAGAAGCTAAGGCTCAGACTGAGACAGCTTTAGGCAAGAGGTAAAGGTAAAGGTTCCCCTTGACAATTTTTGTCCAGTCGTGTTCGACTCTAGGGGGCTTCCAAGCCATAGAGCCAGCGTTTTGTCCAAAGACAATCTTCCGTGGTCACATGGCCAGTGCGACTTAGACACGGAACGCTGTTACCTTCCCACCGAGGTGGTCCCTAGTGATCTACTGTGCTTGCATTTGCATGCTTTCGAACTGCTAGGTTGGCGGGAGCTGGGACAAAGCAATGGGAGCTCACTCTGTCGCGTGGATTCGATCTTACGACTACTTGGTCTTCTGACCCTGCAGCACAGGCTTCTGCGGTTTAGCCCGCAGCGCCACCACGTCCCTTTTAGGCAAGAACAATATTTTAAAAAATAAATAAATCTGCATTTATTGTCATTTACTAAGAAAACTGCATTTGCTTAACAGGTGACTTTAAATGACCATAAAACAGAACAATTAATCAAAATTTAATCAATCAACCATTGTTGTCATCACATGCCATCAAGTTGCCTTGATTTATGGTGACCCCATGAATGAATTATCTCCAAAATGTCCAGACCTCAATGGCCCGGCTCAGTTTTTCAAAACTCTAGACTGTAATTTCCTTTAGGGAGTCAATGCATCTTGTATTTGGTTTTCCTCTTTTCCTGCTGCTTCCAACCTTTCCCAGCATTATTATTTTTTGATAAAATCTTGCCTTTTTGTGATGGGCCCAAAGTAGAATAGCCTCAATTTCATTATTTTTGTCTTCAAAGATTGTTCAGGCTTGATTTGATCTAGGACATGCTTGTTCATCTTTGTAGAATTCGAGGGTATCCCCACAACTCTTCTGCAGCACCATATTTTAAACGACTCAATTTTTTCCTTGTCAGCTTTCTTTATTGCCCAGCTTTCACACCGATACATAGTGATTGGGAATGCAAGAGCGTGGATTATCTTGGTCTTGGCCTCTAGTGATACATCCTTACACTGTAGTAGTTTTAGAAGAAGTAGCTGTGTTAGTCTGTACTAGCTAGCATATAAAGCAAAACAAAAGATAAAAATAAAGACAAAAATATTGTGGCACCTTGAAGATTAATTGCAAGGAGCTTTTGTGGACAAATCTACTTCCATAAGAATGGAACTATATGGGACTATTCATACCTTTATATATGGTCCCAAATCACAGATTGTGTTTAGGCACAAGTTGTTGGCCTGACAATGACCTCTGAAATCCTTGTTGACATTCAGTTCTCCTCCCAGGAAGCATTGTTCTGTAAAAAATGACAATTGTTTTGTTTCGTTTAGTCGTGTCCGACTCTTTGTGACCCCATGGAGCAGAGCACGCCAGGCCCCCCTTCATGGATTGCTGCCTTGTCGTGGCAAAGGGGCTTGAATAACTCAGAAGCTATGGGTTATGCTGTGCAGGGACACCCAAGACGGACAGGACATAGTGGAGAGTTCCGACTAAACGCAATCCACCTGGAGCAGGAACTGGCAAGCCACTCTAGTATCTTTGCCAAGAATGCCCCATGATCAGAAACAAAAGGCTAAAAAAATGACAATAATTGGTGGCTAACCCCCGGCTATTGTAATGATCAGGAACAATATGATAATGAGTGCAACTATTCACTAATCCGACTTGTGAAATGGCACTGGTAGTTAGTAAGGAAATGGCTTATGAACCATTGGATAGTTCAGTGGTATATAATGGATGGCTGGGAATTTCAGCACATACAATATTTACAATGACCTAAATAACCTTGGCTTATATTGAGTCCATTGAAATGGGTTTTAAACACATGTATATATTTTATCTCACCTCCCCTCTCTAGATTATAGTCCTGTAATTTTTGTTCTCCAAAATGGCAGCTTTCAGGTCATGTACAGAGTGTGAATCAAAATGATTTGAAACACGTTTCTGTGTATTGCCATTCCTGATGTTTCTCTCTGTCAAAACAAGACCAGGAATGGTACTGATTATGAACTCTTAATATCCAACACTAGAGTAAAGCTGAGAAAGAACACTAAAAGAATCATAGTGCTAAAACATAATTTAAGCAACATTCCTGATGAATTTAAATCCACATAAGGGACAGATTTGTATTGACCATGAACCAGAAGAACCATGGGCTGAAACCAGAGATATTATTAGAAGGAATGAAAAGATACAATTCCTGTAGGAAAGAGAAATCAATCAATTAGAATCACAAAAATAAGCAGCAAATAAGTACTGTAGTGTGTTACTATACTGACCATTGCTCACATAAGTTAAATTATACCAGGTAAAACCATATAGTTCTAGAAGAGTTGTGTGATCTGCTACTGCCCATTCTCATATGGAGAATAGAGGTCACATACAGCTGAGCATTAAAAGATCCAAAAGACACCTTCTTGTACAATGAGGACTGAACATTACTGTTTACATCTGGAATCTTGAGTTGCCAGTGACATTTGGAAATGGACCTTTTTTTTTTACTAAGGAGATGCTCCTGAAGAATTTTGACTTTACTCACAAGTTACAGTTCAGCATTCCCCATGCCAACAAAACCCACCTTTCCCACATTATCTCCATTTGTCACATTGTCCCAAGCATCCATTGTTAGTACCATGGCAACCCACTCTTATGGCCTCCAGAACCCACTGGAGAGATATTGATCTGTCACATGGATATTAATACCTTATTCTTGAACTGTGCTATTGTTCTCTGCCGTCAAGTTGCCTCTGACCTATGGGGACCCTATGAACGATTGACCTCCAAAACACGACAGCAACATAAACTACAGGATGTCCCTTTTTCTGGAACTTAGAATGGTAAGTATCCTTCAATTTGTTTTTTGTTTTTTGTTTTTCAAATAGATCCCCACTGGTAAAGGAAAAAACTTCCAAAAACCTCTACACATGAAAAAGGAAATGGTTGTGCTCTTAACTGCTCGGTGGTCAGGTGTCCAACTGATCCAGAAGACTTTCAGAGTGCCCTTTTTACCCAACTGTCCTACCAGTATGTAAATAAGAAATGGAGATTGTAGCATATTATCAGGTCATTGGCTACTATGTGTTCACTTCAGACAAACTGTTGTGGTCATAATACAGGGCAGCAGGAGGGGAGGGAGCCCAGCTATCCACAAGGGTTTAATTTCTCCTGGTACTCTTCATTTCAGAATTTGGCCACAATGACCTAATTGCCTTGTTTCACCAAATGCCAGCAGCCAAACACTGAACCTCATTGTCTGCTTTCCTTACATGAAACCATCTCATACTATGTCATATAGCATTGGAGCCTATGGGTCTTAGTTTTTCTTTGAGTGCTTTTGAGGGGGGGGGGTTGCTTCTTTGCCAAGATTTTTATTATTCTGGGTCCTATAACAACAACCCAAAGTAGCTACTAAACAATAAATCCTTCCCTCAGGGAGAGGCACCCTCTTGAATTATGCTCTTCAGTGAAAGAGACTGCATGTCCCTTTCAAGGTTGGTTGAAGAAAATGATAGGAAGGCAAGGCTGGGTTTCTGAAACTCTCAGATTTTTAAGTGTTACCATACGGGACATTGCTTACCTAAGTTGCCGTATACCAGGTAAAACCATTTGTCCCTCCAACTTGCTAGCTTTTATTTTCATAGGCTGCAGCTGTCAAGGGTATCAGACAGCCCCCCACCATTGCCTGTTATCTCTAATCCTGTTAACTGGATTGAATCCTGGACCTCAAGGTTACTCATAACAGTATGTATTATTATTAACAATAAGGTTATTATTACTGGATGAATTATAAGATGAGGCTACAGTAAAAATCCTCCAGGTTTCCAATGTATTATATAACAATGGGGATTAAGACAGCAACGTATCTATGAGGATATATTTGGCCTCAGGCTGGTATGTCCTGAGCCTCTGCATCATCAGTATTCTAACTCACATCTGGCTGCCAGCAATATCTTATTACCAGTTGTAAGCTCTCTCTTCTTCTCTAGAAATGACAGGTTGGTGGGTTTTCAGAAAACAATTCTTTTTCTAGAGATTCCTGAAGCTGTAGATGCATTATGGATACCAAAAAGAATCGGGACAATTGTGGAGAGAATGATACAGATGTGAGGCCCAATTCTCTGGCACATTACACAACTCAAGGTAAGTGTATTGCAGAAGGTTGGAGTCTTCCTCATTATACATCATCTAATAACTAGAAGTCACATGCTCTCATTGTGGTGTAGTCAACATTCTCTCGCTCCATGAGGAATGTTCTGTGTTCCAGAGCAGTGGTTCCCAGCCTTGGGTAACCCAGTTGTTCTTGGACTGTAACTCCCAGAAACCCCAGCCAGCACAGCTAGTGGTGAAATTTTCTGTGAACTGCAATCCAAGAACACTTGGGTTACCCAAGGTTGGGAACCACTGTTCTAGAGGGATATAGAAGTGGTTGAGGGGTTGGTACCCTTACTCGATGCCTGGATTTGTGCCCTAAGTGTAGATGGATCCCTTCAACTGACCTTACTCATCACAGCAGAACAAAGTTTGAAAAAACGCAGATCCACTGCATTTCCAAAACTTAATATGTCTGAAATATGCTGGAGACAGGAAGTCCAACAGTATCCTTTTGCTTTTCTAAGATGACCACTGAACAGGCCTATAGAACAGTTCCCTATGCTGTTTTCAGTCACAAGCTAACATACCAATTTGGTTGTGCCTCCCCATTCTTACAGGGTTAAGACAGCTCTATGAGACGCAACAGCTGTGTGATGTCACTTTGGTGGCAGATGGAAGGCATTTCCCTTGTCACAGGTGAGTTTCTGGCTCTTGCTAGTCTCATAGCCTGTTCATGGCTATTGGCTTGACAAGCCATGGAATGTGATTACTGTAGTTGGCAGAAAGCAGACACTTCGCCTGCAGAGGTGAAGCTTCCTAATTACACACAGAGTACACACCTCAGCACTGAGCTCCAGTTCTGCGGAAGTAGCATAACTTGTGTAATAACTTTTCTCACAATAAAACTTGCCATATCATTCTCCTAATAAAGCTGCCCTGGGTCCTTTTTAAGGAAAATGGTGGAGTAAAAATATTTGAAATAAATAAATGTGCCAATACTTCCAGTTCTTACACTAGTCACATGCTTGCAAAAGCTTAGGTGTTGCCATTCATGTCTGATGCGAGCTCAGTTTAGAAAAAAAATTGGTTAGATTAGCAGAAATTCTACTCCTAGTAATACTAGCTGAAGTTTATACAAATTACATTTTATAATTAAGGGTTTATAGAGGTTTATAAAATTGTGCGTACTGTAGAGAAAGTAGAATTTTTTTCTGTCTCTCTCTTTCTGCCTCATAATTCTGGAATTTAGGATTGCTCAATAAAACTGACTGGCAGAAGATTAAAGACAGAATAAAGCACTTCTTCATGCAACACATAATTAATTTATGGATTTATTTGCCACCCAATATGGTGATTACCACAAAGTTAGATGGCATTAAAAGAGGATTAGACAAATTCTTGGGGAATAAGACAATCAATGCCTATTGGCTGGGTTTATCAAACTGAAGGTTACAAGCTCTGGACAGAAGTGGCTAGGAACAGCATTAGGACAGAAGATTGGACCAAAATTCCCGCCTATCTAGTCATTTCGACCACTCTATTTATTTATTTATTTATTTATTCCAATGTAATGCAATTGGTGGGAATCTTTTTGATGAACTGTTACATGTCAAGACGTTAATGTAAGCATTTGCTGTTACACACAAAGTCATGCAACTCTGTGTATAACAGCGTTATTACGAATTGCATGATCCCAGGAGGTATAAGTAAGAGGATTTGGCCCGTTATTCATTACAAGTCAGATTTATATCCCACCTTTGCTCCAACGACCTAAGGACAGCTTAGATTATTCCTCGTGATAGCTCAGTGGTTTAGGCCACTGGTTCTTAACCTTGGGTTACTCAGGAGTTTTGGACTGCAACTCCCAGAAGCCTTCACCACCAGCTGTCCTGACTGGAGTTTCTGAGAGTTGCAGTTCAAAAGCATCCGAGTAACAAAGGTTAAGAACCACTGGTTTAGGCATTTGGCTGCAGAGCCAGAGGTTGGGAGTTCGATTCCCCACTGTGCCTCCTTCAGGGGATTTAGACTTAATGACCCATAGGGTCCCTTCCAGTTATCCAGTTCTAAGATGGTGGTGATGGTGGTGATAATTATCTTCACAACAATCCTGCAAGGTTAGGTCGGGCTGAGAAAGTTTGATTGGGCCAGTGCCTCCCAATGGCTGAAATCCAGTAGTACGGTGCAACTAGTGTACACCCATTAAATCAGTGGGATGGCGAGTCAACACCTAGGTAAGCACTATAATTCAGTGGGCCTACTTCAGTTGTGACTTACTACTGGATTTTAGCCAATGAGTTACATGATGCACTGGAATTTGGGATTCCCAAGACCAAACACTAAACACAACCCCACTACGGCTCATGATGGAAACATCTAGCTATCTGCTGTAGAGACGAAACTATACAGTTACAGCGACCTTATCAGTATGCTCTAGCAATGCTTTTCTTGATTCTCCTAAATGTGTAAATATATTGGTACAGATATTGAAATTAAAATGTTTGTAATGCATGCCGCACCATTGCTTCCATTTTTCAGAATCCAGTAGATTCACATTACAATGCAAAGCAAATGAACTTCTCTCCACCCCTCTTTAAGAGAGATCAAAGAACCTCAAAGGGTTAGGGTTTTCTTCTTTTTAAAATTTGACAGGATGAGCTCAAGTTATGCCTCGCCATGGGAAAGTAAGATGAGGGATGTTTTTCTGAACTGTGCAAGGCCTCCTTCACCAGGATACTGGGCAACAACACTAGAGGTGTTGGTTGCTTGCCTTGACCAGTTTGTTATGTTTCTTACAGGCAAGGTTCATCAGATTTACCTTCACCTGTACTCTGCTACTGGGGCAGGTCATGTTGATATGATTAACCTTTTTATCTGGAATTCTGTTCAACTTGTAGATCTCAAGGATGTGAACAGGACGCTTGGCGTGGGGCAGGCCTACTCACTCAATCCTTGCCCCTCCTGGCTCATCAAATCTGCCAAATCAGGACACACGCCATGGCTAAGGGAGGTGATAAATGCTTCCTTAGAGGAAGGGTCTGTCATTTCCTGCTTAAGGGAAGCTGTCATTAAATCTGTTTAAAAGTAACCTGCCCTTGACTCAGAAATTTTGATTAATTATAAGTCAGTCTCAAATGCTTAACATTTTTGGCAAAGGTAGTTGAAATATCAGCCAAGGGATGATATGCTCCCTTCAGGAGTCTGTAGTCTGGAAAGCGTATGCCAAAAGAAACATGTTAGCCTTTTAAGGACATTCATTCTTTTATTGGAAAAAGGGGGGGGGATACATGTAATAGATGTTATAAATAATAAGTTATGTTTTGACAGAAATGTTTTGTTGCCTCATTTTGTAGAGCGTTATTGGCATCGTTCAGTCCTTACTTCCGTGCCATGTTCACCAGACCCTTTAGAGAATACTGGGAAAAGCAAGTTGTGTTTGAGGAGATGAGCCCTTCCATCCTTCAGAGAATTCTGGAATATGTCTACACTGGGGAGTTGATGCTTACACCGGAGACTGCCCAAGATCTTTTCACAGCAGCTAGTAGGCTGGTCATCCTTCCTTTGCAGGAGATAATTGGCAGGTAATGGGGACAGGACAGCAGAATCCGCTTTTGGAGCTGGAGTTGTTCAGGGCTAAGTGGGCGGGTGGATGGCATCTTTCAGAGATACTAAGGTGTGATCTCTCTAAGATAAGCAATAGAGGAATTATTTAGCATTTATTCAACACATTTGAAATTGATGAAACATATTTGAGATAGCAAACAGAAGCAAGCTAACATGCTGAGTAATATCCAGTATACCAGTCTAGCACTGTAGAAAGTGCATTTGACTTTTCATTCCCATTTTTAATGTGGCAGATTTCTGCACCTTCGCCAATTCTATTTTATCAAAGGGATCAATGGGTATGTTAAAGATGAAGACATGGAGAGCTTTTCTGTAGCTTCCAGTAAAATGTCCACAAAAGAAAAATCCTCTATAGTGTGGAAGCAAAAATAAGAAAGGTCGATATGGCACCTTCAAGAAATACAAGTTTTATTTGACCTATGGCTTCATAGACTGCAGTCCATTCCATTGGATATGGAGAGTGTAGCATCCATTGGCAGTATGATGATGTGTTCCCTTCTCCCTGGTGCCCTTTCCAGCCTTTGTATAAATGTTAGCCAAGGAAGGTTATACTCCTTGCAGGAAGTAGGCTAAAATCTGTTAAAGCTTATGTCAAAAGAAACATGTTAGTCTTTAAGGTGACACAAGCCTTTTTGTTTTGCTATTTTGCACCTGAAAATAGCATGGAAAATACTCTTCCTTACTCGGATCATCAGTACGTACTACCTGTTTCACCTCTCTACAGTCATTATTCATCTGCACAAAGAGTTTGAACCGAAATAGCATGGAAAATACTCTTCCTTACTCTGATCATCAGTACGTACTACCTTGCCTACCTTATTTTGTCCCAACACCCAGTATTTCCTCTCCTCTAGCTTCTGCTTTCTTCTTCTAGGTCCTCCTGAGTCCTCCTGCCCAGTGCGCCTTTCCCCTCCCCACTCCCAGCAATTCATTTGTTTTACACCGTCCTTAGATTTTTTTAAAAATGTACAGTAATGCATTCTTCATCTTCTGGGAGGTAAAGCTTACTCATGGCCTACAAAGGCATTTCCCAATCTCTTTTTGAATTTTGAGGAAACCATCCCGCTTCAACTTTATTATCATCCAGCTCCTTTGAGTAAACATGCTAAATTCATAATTAAAAATTGTAAGCAAAAACAATATGTCTACAAGTCTGTTCTGACTTATGGCAAGCTTTTTTCAGGGTTTTCCAGGTGGCTCGGAAGTGGCTTACCATGTACCATGCCCATCCTCCGGGGCCATCCTGGGGACTGTGGAGGTTGCCCAAGGCCAGATAAGCTGGCTATACTCACTGGAGGCACAGTGAACTCCAATTTTCTGGCTCTGTAGTCAGATAATCTTAAACCACTGAGAAAATTTTGATACGTGACAGAAATTTGAAATTAAATGTATGTTATGAACTTTGAAAAAAAAACCCCAACCATATTTAGGCTGATACAATTTCCCCCAATATGTAAATCACACCGTCTATACCTCCATCCCCCGGAATTTATTCCTCTCCTCCTCCACCGCCAGTATGGAAACCAACAGCTTAGAACATTCTGCCATCTGAATCATCTTGCTTTTTTAATTGTCTAGTGCAGGAATAAACAGGTCAGAGCGCTAGCAAACTGCCTGTTTTACTCTGGTTGATGTATGCTAGAGAGTGAGATTCCAAAGAAGTAATCCATTGATACTGATTTATTTTCTCTTTCTTGACAGATTTCTTGCTGACAGCATTTCTATGGATAGTAGCCTTGGGATTTATGCTCTGGCATATGCTCACAACTATCGTGCTTTGCTACGTGTGGCCTCACACTACATTACCTTGAACTTTGAGCCTCTTTCTGTACATGAGGCTTTCCCAGGTCTGGATCTCAGTACGGTGGACAGCATCATCTCTTCAGACAAACTTCTGGTGTCTTCTGAACTGACTGTCTACCATGCTGTGCAACACTGGGTAAGATCTCAACCAGCTGAGCATCTCTTGCTGATCAAGAGGCTGTTGAGACAGGTCCGCCTCCCCCTTCTAACCGCTGAGGAGGTTGCTACTGTTCAGCAGGATGTTATTGCAGAATATGGGCATGCTCATCTTCAGTGGGAGCAGCTGGATGGTACAGGGAGACTGCGGAAGAGCGGGGGCCTTAGACACGGCATGTATGATGACTGGATCGTAAGCTTGGGCCTCTTTGTGAGCAACATGCAAGGGGGAGTGGTTGAGCGTTTGAAAACTCACTTCCTGGGGTTCAACCTACAAATGGAAAGTTGGGAGGAGATCCCACCCTTGATGTATCTCGATTCCTCCGGCTTCTTGTCTGTGGGGCACAAGCTCTATGTCTCTGGAGGGCAAAGGCTTAATGGCTCTGTCTTGGGCAACCTGCATGAATTTGATGCTCTTACTGGTCAGTGGATGCAGTTGCCTTCCATGTCTGTCCCCCGCCGAGAACATGGCTTCTTAGCGTGTATGCAAAAACTTTATGCTTTGGGGGGCCGGAGTGGCAGAAATGTGCTAGATTCTGCTGAAAGCTTTGATCTCATGCAGCAGTCCTGGTCTCCCATCGCCAGCCTCCCCTTCGCAGTGAGTCATTTTGCCTCTGCTACCTTGAAGAACAAGCTATATCTAATCGGAGGGTTCTCCCACACAAGAGCAAGTGGCCTTGCTCACAGGGGCATTCTGATCTATGATACCAGCTTAAACTTGTGGAATCAAGTGCCTCTCGCTTTTCAGTGTTACAAATCAACAGCTGTGACCATGGACAACGGAATCTTTGTCATTGGTGGACTGGTTGAGGAAAGTAGCCGGCGGGAGACACCTGGCACCGTCATCAGGGCTCTCATCTCTGGCACCCATAAGTGTTTTTTCCTCAGCAAGGATGGCACAGTGAGCCAAGATGTTGCTATTCCAGAGCTCCCTATTCTGGTCTTGCCACCCTGTGCAGTGCAGTGGCAGAGAAGAATCCATGTGCTAGTTGGAAACACAATTTACCAGTGGAAACCTGGAGAATCAAGCTGGACTAGGAGTCGAAAAATTGCTCCCAACACAAGGGTGACATTTCTCACTGTCGTGAATGGTGTGCTGCTGCGGGTGCCAAAGAAAAGTCTGCAGCCCCTTTTACGAGAAGCTTCAGCAGCACTGACTGCCGTTTGGATAGCAGATCAACAGTCTTTTTGACACCTGCCAAACTACAATCACTTCCCGCAGACCCTTGGTGTCACCTTGTGTGCTGAATGGAGGATTACAAATCTCCCCTTGATATCATCAGCGTTGATTTCTTTAAGAATAGAATACACTAACACTGGTTGGTTCCTCCTCAATGCCTTTGAGACGGGAGATCTATGGCTGAGACAAGTGGTCCTGTTGCCAAATAAATACCTAGATGTCTCTTAGTGTTAAGAAAAGCCCCTCGAGAAAATTCCCATTGTTTCTGCCATTTTGCAATTCCTGTTCCCCTGACCATAGTGTTTTTTCTTACAAAATCTTATTATGCCTCTCTCTCTTTGAAGAAATGGAACTGGCCCAGCATTTAGTCACCAATCAGTATTTTCTTTCTCCTCCTGTTCCTTTCACCCAGATCCTAGTTAAAAGAATGCTACATGAAATCTCATTGTTCATACTCTTACACACACACACACAGACAGAGAGAGAGAGAGAGAGAGAGAGAGAGAGAGAGAGAGAGAACACACACAGAGAGAGAGAGAGAGAGAGAGAGAGAGAGTGAGAGAATGAGAGAGAGAGACTGGAACATGCCACTAGCATCAAGGGCAAGTATAGGGATGTATAAACTTCAATGTGGAGGCCACGTGATCCATTTCCCCCAAACTCTCAACTGATTTCTGTGCGCCATACTTGGTCAGTTCTGAGCAAGTCCTTGGTGAAAAGATGATACACAAAAACCAAGTCTGTTTTCTGTCTGGGATCTATGATTGGAACATGCATGGGTGTGTGCTTGTGCATATGCACGGAGAGAGACAGAGATGCACAGCTAGAGGTGGGCTATTCATACTCATATCTCTGTGGATGCAAATACGAACGATGGCGCCACAGAGGTCCCCCAGAACTGGCCAGTCCACTCACCATTTAGTGTGAGACACTTAGCTTTGTCACCATTGTTGGGGAGACTCCCCATCCCACCTCCACGCTGGAGTGGTCAACTGCCTGGGGAGGCAAGGAAAGAGCTGGCCAGGCTCCTTCCACAACTGACACAACAATGACAACCTGTGGTGCCACTATTCATGTTCGTATCCCCAGGGATACGAATACGAATAGCCCATTTCTAATAAACAAACCTATGTGGGCAAATACATATATGCAAATATATCTGTACAGATCTACATCTAGAGACTAGCAGAGTGGGGCTGCCATCGCTCTCTCCAGGCATTTCAGCTGTATGTGTAAGTAATAACTGAGCTAATCTGAAAACTGGAGCAGGAGTTAATTATACTTGATAAATTATGCCCAACAGTGAAGCCAGCTCCCACAGTGAAGTGATAGCAGGTAGGCAACTGAGATCTACAATGGTTCAGTTCTGTCTCTTTGATTCCAAGCTTGCCTCTCTGGATCTGCTTTGACATCCTGCTTCTCTCCTCCCAGCCACTCTCCCCAACCTCTCTCACAAAGAAAACCGCCAACTGCCATGGTAGTAACCCTTAACAATGTGCCCTGAAATCTTGGTTAACAACCATAACCCCACTTGCCTGCTTCAGTAAGTGGGAACCTGCTTTCCCAGGAGACGTGCTACAATGCATCCCCCAATATATTGCTCGGCTTTATGCAGCCACCTGCATAGCATAGTAATGGCCACCTGCTCACTCCCTGAGCTATATATGCAGTACACTCACATTAAGCTGCTCAGTAGAGGCCTCCATCTTTATGGTGTTGGAAAAAAGGCAAAGTAGCAACAGGGAGACCTTTGGTGTAGGGAGAGGATTAAAGTTACCAGGAATCCAACTCAAAATCCCCATGGGGTGCACAAAACTATATCTTGAAAAGCTTGAATGAAACATTACATTCTGCTGTCCTCTCCTCCCCCCCAATGACACTCTTTTAGCAAAGCAAGCAAAGGACACCAATGTGTGCATGGCTTATCTATTCAAAACATGGAATGCAAATTTTTTCTATGCAAAATTTGGGATCTCTAATTCTGATTGCGAATGAATCTCCACCTCGATGGAGCATTTCAACCAGTAGAGGTCGATATCACCATACTTTGTATGCTGGGTGATCTTAGCAGGCTGAGGGCCATTTTTCAGATTTCCTGGCACCCCAACAATTGCACTCCCAACAGAATGTATACTGTACTACTACTGTATTATTATTCAAAAAACCCAGGCACGGTCAATCAAAATTATAAACACATTGACAGGTATTATATACTGTAAAAGATACAAGTTTTAACTAAAAACCGGAGTATCTGTTAAATATCAGTGCAGTATATATGCTATTCCCGATATTGCCAGTTTTTGTAGCTCTGATGGTGCTATTTCTGAGATCTGCAACTGCTTATAATGCTGTGTGAAATTTCTTGATATTGTTCCCAAAGCCTCAATGACTACGGAGGCCACTGAAGTGTGTTTCATCATATCTCTGTATTTTGTTAGTTTTTCCAATTCTTTATCTTCAACTCTAGCATTCCCTGGAATTGCAATGTCAGGTTCTTCATTCTATTACTACTGTGTCTGGTGTGTTATGTTCAAGGTGTCTATTGGTTTGGATCTGGAAATCCCACAAGATCTTGACTTCATCATTTTCTGACACCTTCTCTACCTGATGTTTCCATTGGTTTTTTGTGGGCTGGCAAGTTATATTTTTTGCTTCATGACTAGTGCACTAATTTTGCCACTCTATCATGTCTAATTTTGTAATCTGTTTATACAATATTTGGACATTCACAGATTATGTATGACACAGTTTCATCTTTTTCTTGGCAGAGTTGCTGTTAGCACTAACTCCTTGGATCTTAGCTTTCATCACGTTGGTTTAGTGTGTTTGTTCTTGTGCGGCAAAAATTAAGTCTTTGGTTTCTTTCTTAATGGTCTCCAGTTTTAGCCATGCCTATTCTGAATCATTACCTTTCCATCAATATTTCTCAGGTATTGCCCATGTAGCAGTTTATTTTTCCAGCTGTTTTATTTGTTTTCAAATTGTTATTTCTTACATTGAGCCTTTGTTTCTGCTGCTTCTAAAATATTCTCCATTTTCACTGTCTTAAGTAATTTTTCTTTACTTGTACTAATATAATCATTTAGGTTTCTTTTCTCCTCCTCTGCTACTTGCTTTATTTGCAGTAATCCATGGCCTCCAATTTTTTGTGGCAAATATAATTTGTCCACATCACTTTTTTGATGTAGTGCATTGTGCATGTTCATTAGTTTCTGTGCTTTTGATCCAAATCTTCTAATTCATTTTGGGTCTGATGTATTATTCCAGTTGGGTCTCTAATTACTGGAACTGCCCATGTTTATGGCTTTGATTGTATTTCGCCCATTTCATTCTGATTTTAATATTTTCCACAGTATTTTAATGTATTCCCTTTCTGTCAGTTCTTTAACTTTTGTGTGCAGGATGTTATCTGGTTCTAGTATTCCAAGGTGCTTATAATTTTCATCATTTGATAGTGATTTTATAATATCACAGTTTTTAACTCTTTTCCATCTAGTTTTTGGATCTTACCATGTTCTATAGACAGAGCTGCACATTTGTCAATTCCAAATTTTGTTTGAATAACTTCACTAAATATCCACACTGTGTTTAACAATGATTCTGGCTTAGCAGAAATTTTTGCATGTAGTTTTAGGTCATCCATGTATAACAGACAATTGATTTTTCCTGCTTGTTCTGAAATATGGTAGCCCAATCCAATTTTATTTAACATTTTTGACAAAAGGATTAGTGAGATGTTAAACAGCAGTGGTGACAAAGAATCCCCTTGAAATATTCCTCTTTTGATGCTAACTTCGCCAGTTTCTTCACAAAAAGCCATTAAGGCAGTTTTCTATTTTTTTCTAGGAACTTCTGAATTGTTTTACTAATCCCAAAAAATTTATGCAAGTATTAATCCAACTGGATATCAATGAATCAAATGTCTTTTTATAGTCTATCCAGGCCATGTTAAGATTAGTTTTTTGTCTTTTTATGTTCTTTGGTATCATTTTATCAATAAACAGCTGATCACTTGTGCCTCTTGACTTTTTAAAGTTCCTTTTCTGTTCAACTGGGTATAGGGAGTTTTCAATTAAATAATTATATATTGCTCTTGCAAGTATTCCTTTGAGAAGTTTGAACATTGTTGGAAGGCATGTAATTGGTCGATAGTTACTGGGTTCATTGCCCTTTTAATGATCTTTTATTGTCAGAAATTTGCAGCCTGCTGCCACAAAATCTTCAGTTGTAGAATTTTGAAGTAAGAGATTAAATTACATTGCATCCGGGCAGGTCATCTGAATCAGATGCACTCCAGTTATTTCACAGCCTTTGTTTGTTGTTTAGTCGTTTAGTCATGTCCGACTCTTCATGACCTCATGGACCAGAGCACGCCAGGCCCTCTTGTCTTCCACTGCCTCCCAGAGCTGGGTCAAATTCACGTTCGTAGATTCGATGACACTGTCCAACCATGTCATCCTCTGTCGTCCCCTTCTCGTCTTGCCCTCACACTTTCCTAACATCAGGGTCTTTTCCAAGGAGTCTTCTCTTCTCATGAGATGGCCAAAATAGTGGATCCCCAGCTTCAGGATCTGTCCTTCCAGTGAGCACTCGGGGTTGATTTCCTTTAGAATGGATAGGTTTGCTCTCCTTGCAGTCCAGGGGACTCTCAAGAGTCTCCTCCAGCACCACAATTCGAAAGCATCAATTCTTCTTTATGGTCCATCTCTCACTTCCGTACATCACTACAGGAAAAACCATAGCTTTGACTATGTGGACCTTTGTTGGCAAGAGGATGTATCAGCTTTTTAAGATGCTGCCTAGGCTTGCCATCGCTTTCCTCTGAAGAAGCAGGCGTCTTTTAATTTCGTGGCTGCTGTCACCATCTGGCATGATCATGGAGCCTAAGAAAGTAAAATCTGTCACTGCCTCCAAATCTTCCCCTTCTATTTGCCAGGAGGTGATGGGACCAGTGGCCATGATCTTAGTTTTTTTGATGTTGAGCTTCAGACCGTTTTTTCCACTCTCCTCTTTCACCCTCATTAAGAGGTCCTTTATGTCCTCCTCACTTTCTGCCATCAGAGTGGTATCATCTGCATATATGAGGTTGTTGATATTTCTTCCGGCAATCTTAATTCCATTTTGGGATTCCTCCAGCCTGGCCTTTCTCATGAGATATTCTGCATATAAGTTAAATAAGCGTGGAGACAATATACAGCCTT